GGCATTCCTAATTGTTTGAACGGCTAAAAAAGTCACGAAAAAAAAACATTGCACCTAAAAGCGGTGAGTTGGAGAGGCTCATACAAGTGTTGCAATCAATTATATGTTTGACGAAACTTTTATCTCCGAATGCCAACAAACCGAGAAGAAACTTCGAGGCCATTAAAATGCCAGCGAATTTCTCGCGAGAGAAGTATTGAAAAATTTTAACACATGATTAAATCCTCTGAAAAGGGACAATTTAATTATTCGCCACCTGTAAAAGTCTTATGTCTCATCTTTGTTCTTTCTTTCGGGTGCAATCTGGAGAAGCCGCAAGTAATATCCATCATTGGTTTGTGCGGTTGAGACGGGACAGTCTCGTAAAACGTAAATAATGCAGAGCTCCTAAAAACGACATTTTCGAGATTTAAGTGCAACTCAGTCAATAATAAATATTATTTGAAGACATGTATTGGAAGGTTTTATCTAATTTTAGTAAGACAGACGAATTGTGAATTACATTATACGGTGAAACATATAAAGAAAATATAGTGGATTTTTTTAAAGAATGTATAAAGCTGTGATTTTTATCACACACACACATACACACGCTTCGATAAATAAATCGGATTAAAATATCATAAAATTTAAATCTTTTGCGCTATTATTATTAATATTGCAGTTACTTTTCAAAATACAAGATACGATTATATGTGTGTATATAAATAATATATACGTACAATTATTCGCAACATTTTTTATGCCACCACTTGTGATTGTTTTCATAGAAAAGAAACCTTTCGTTTGACCATAAAAATTTTATAAACAAAAAAAAAAAAAAAAAAAAAAAGAACAATTCTTTATCCGTTTTTTATATCAGGAACACAATAAAAATTTTTAATAAATAAAAAAAGCCACTAAAAAGAAATATATTTTATTCACATGTTATAAAAGTGAAACAATGATTTTGATAAAAATGTATCATAATAATACCATCGTTTTCTTCTTAATTATTAAATTTCTAGAATTTCCTGTCACACCTTGAATTGACAAACGCGATGCGATCGGAGTATCGGAATAATATTCATATTAATCTGCGGAGAAACTTACGGAGATGCGGCGGCTGTAAAGTATACCCTCGCCCACGCCGGAAATATGCGATCCGATTAAAAACCGGCGCGGAAGCAAGCAGCGGCGGCCACGACCGCTTTTCAAATCGGGCCGAGACGCGTGTTGCGAGCAGCAGGATGCCACCGCCGCGACTGAGAGGGACCAGAACCGGCAGCCACGGCAAGGCGGACGGAGCGAGCGTGGAGGAGCCCCAGACCGGGTGAACCGATCCGATGGGTCGAACGCGGCAAAGCCGAGGAGCTTTTCGACCGATGGGACGAGACTCCCTCCTCTCCAAACTGCTTTGTATCTCGGCCTGATGATAATGTGTTGTTTGCAATCCGTCGCGAAAGCCGCTCCTAACCTGACCTCGACAATCTTGGACAGGCCCGTCGAATTTCCCTCCGGCTCTTTTTCCGGTTGTACTCCCAGTTGTTGCCAAATTCCACCGGCTTTTGAAACGCATCACCCAGGATACGCTTTGGAGCAGCGTAAAATCATCCGGACGCAGGATTTCGCATCAGCTGACGATTGAAAGAGCGTTTGCGATTTTTCAAAGTTTCACGCCAAGATTCGAATATCCTCGAATATTTTCTGCACGTATTCGGAGTTTATTTTTCTTTAACGAAATTGTCGGAAGGAAGATTGTCATTCTTCACTCATTTTCCAATTTCAGCATCCGGTATTTTAGCAATTAGTATCAAGTTAAAATTCTGGTAAAGTCTACTTTAGATTGATTCCAAATTTCACAAAAGCTAGTGGTACATATGTACCTTCTGTGTATTTGCTGACATTCTACACGGAAAAAAAATGCTGTTGCTTCAATTAAAGTCTACGTCACGGGCTGCCACAGACATACATAGTTCATTCAATGATATTTTTATTAGACCAAATATCTGGATTATTAAAACAACTATCCAGATATTTGGTCTAATAAAAATATCATTGAATGAACTATGTATGTCTGTGGCAGCCCGTAACGTAGACTTTAATTGAAGCAACAGCATTTTTTTTTTCCATGTATAAAATTGGCCGATCTAATTTAATTGCACTTACGTTTCATATAAAACTGAAAAAAAAAATGTATAAAGAATTAAAAAGGGTACTGACAAACGTTTAATAAAATTTCGTTAAATCGATTATATTCAATTAACATGCAATTTTGAAAAAAAAGAACAAGACATTAAAACATCGAGATAAGCACAATTGATAACAGATACAATCAGATTTTTGTAGTCGAATCTCTGCTGATTGTAGCAAACGATCATAAGCTCTCGTTGAATGACCGTTTAGTTTGTAATATTTGCTACTGAATTATTATTTAAAATCCGTCCGATAGATTGTGCAAGATGGAGAATCTCTGCGTGTAAATACAACACAATAGCGATCAAAAATTACACATAATGACAGTTTGCAAAACGCCCAGCAGTCATCGACCACCATCATCCGCACACGTATGATGAGTCATTTTCATTAATCGCAAGTATACGAAGCGCATTCCGCTCTTCGAATGACACGGCACGTTTACAAGTTGATTGGATCATTAGAGCGATTCATTAATCCCATCCCGCACGGAAGTGAGCGCGCGACAACACATGGAATATTTAAATAAATATTCAATCTACTCTTTCTTTCTCTTCTCGTCTATGATAAACACGCAATCTCCTATCGATGATGTGGTCTATCGATTCATCTTGTGTCGATCGCATCTGAATCTTTAATGAACCGGAAAATGGTGAATTGAAAGATTGGCTAAACGCGTCTCTAAATAGCTTTAACATCTTCCACGTTTTATATCGTAACAGCGCGATAACAGCATTTCTTGACACCCTACAATTTCATCTAATAATTCAATAATTCAATTCTTAATTGATTAAGTAATCTCTTATTGATTTATCAATTATTTTTCAATACCGTGTCTCCTCAGGAATATCGATTATACAGGGTGTTCCAGATTAGGTCAATGAAACTTCTTATAGGATCTTATAGGAAATCGAATTTGAAACCAAAAAATTCCGATAAACATAGGTTATCTTTGTTACAAAATTATAGCTAATAAACTCTCTGTAAGTAATTAGTTATAATAAAAAATAAGAACATTTTTATACATTTTTTTGCATTTGCAATATTTGCACTACGAATGTAGTGTTTACACAAAGATCATCGAAAAGTGATTTTTTCAAGTTTCTGCTTTTCTTGTTGTTTTGAGCTTATTTTCTTTTGAACATCTTATCAGAATTAAATCCAAAAAATTCCGATAAACATAGGTTATCTTTGTTACAAAATTATAGCTAATAAACTCTCTGTAAGTAATTAGTTATAATAAAAAATAAGAACATTTTTATACATTTTTTTTGCATTTGCAATATTTGCACTACGAATGTAGTGTTTACACAAAGACCATCAAAAAGTGATTTTTTCAAGTTTCTGCTTTTCTTCTTGTTTTGAGCTTATTTTCTTTTGAACATCTTATCAGAATTAAATAAAATTTATGTAATTTAGTTATTTAATTACCCATAAGATTTATTTCGTTATTTTTTTCAGATAAATAAAGGGATATAAAGTTATTTTTTAAAATCATCAAAAAAAATGTAATTTTTTGAAGTTTATTAGCTATAACTTTTTAACGAAATGTTTCTGGACCTATGTTTATCAAAACTTTTTTGTTCCAAATTCAATTTTCTATAGGACCATAAAGTTTTATTGACCTAATCTAGAACACCCTGTATACTTGAGAATCAACGAAATTAATTAACTAGTTCACTAGTGGACCCAAAATCAACCTTTTGTGCCAAAACTGGTAAGAGTAAATAATTTCGTATTAGTCATCGATCCAAAAAACATGGGTGTATCAAGTTTAATGTACTGAAATAAATCCGTTGCAAATTGACAGAGTTATTCATGGTGTCCATATATGATCATTACCAGTGAACTGGTTAAATATAATAAAAAAATTGTTGGATTGCTTAATCACAAAGCAATAATAAAATATTTTATTTTATTGAATAGAAAATTTAAACGCGCTGCTTCTCTACTTGAAACACGGAAATGCAATGACACAGTAATTGTAGAATCTTTTCACAGTTGTCAAACATCACTTCAGAGAGCGTAATCGCGAGCAACAAACTCGTTTGACGAACAAACATGAAGTTCAACTTTGTATCGGACGCACATGTGCGTGACATCACATCGCGAGTGCTCGCATCGTTAAACGCTCTCCCACCCAGACCTAGCAATATAGCAGAGAACACTTCTAGAGAAGCCGCCGTTATATGCGGGTCCGCTATAGCTGCGTGTCTGTAAAGCAGGAAGTTCCGTCGAAATAGAATAGAGGCGAATTGAACCTATATACCTTTACGCTTCGTGAATTTCGCATTATCTCTCATTCGCCGCGCTCGATTCTTGATAGACCGGAACGATCGGATTAAGACACGAAGGAACGATGCGTAGGAACGCACGCGTGAAATGCGCGTAAACGGTGTACGTGGTATGAGAAAGGGCACGTAGTTTAATAAATTTATTATCCGAATCTCCACCCTGTATTCCGGTGATGACGACAAATCAAAATAAATCTGACAAGCGAATGTTTTATAATAGAGGGAACATGCACAGTTGAAAAATTGGTGTTAAATTTAACAGATATCACATGTCCCAAACGGTTCATACAAGTTTTTGTATTAATTTAACATAATATATGGATATGTTAAATGGTTCGGACACTAATACTATGTTAATATTTTAACACAAAATAAATGCAAACCTCAAAGTAATTTGAAATAAATTTTGTGTAAAATCAACAATTTTTTAATGATAAAATTAACTTGGAAAAATGTTATTGACGGTCTATACTCTCATTCCTACTGTAGAATAAAATCAACATTTTTTTCTGTAAATTTTAACAAATAAATCCTGTCACTAATAATACGGAGTATATCCATTGTGTAAAATTAAAAATAGGTGCACATTGTGTTATTTTTGCACTTTTTTTAATTGTTTTAATAATTTAACACTTGAGTTCAATTAACACAATAGCAATATGTTAAATTAACACATAAATGTGTTAAATATTTAACACAAAAATTTTAACCGGCATATTTTTTAACAAGAAAACAAATTTTCCAATTATGTGAATGTATATGTGAAACAAGAAAAGAAATAGTTTGGAGGTTCAAACTCAAATGTAACGTCAAAAATTTCACGATACACTGATACGAAAAAGTCTGATACATATATATATAGAGAGAAAGAAAATACTGTGGGAACACGCGAGTTTTCTTTAGAGCTCTTTTTTGTACCGCTTCTTACTAACATAAGTGTGCGTACAGTTACAAAAAGTATTTCTCGCAAAGAAAGGATCAACTTTACAACATGCAACGCTATTATCATGCTATATTCGTGGATAAAAATGAAATTCGACGAATAGAGAGAAAATTTGCACGATAATAAAAGTCTTGATAATATAGTTAAATTAGCAAGTATAATTTTATATTCGTAGATCAGAAATTAGTGAGAAATTTTTACACGTTACTTATATATCTTTTAAAATAAAATACATTACATCACAATTTTTTTTTAAGATGTGTATATTAACGATTGAAAACCTGACCTTATATTTTTGTTTTCTAATTATTATGCCCTGAAAAAGAATTTATATGTGGAAAAAATATATACTATATTCTAATAATTTTTATTAATTATATAAAATTTTAAACTAAAATTTTGCGCGCGTAAACGAGAGCGTGGGCGTAAAATTTGCATTGTATAATATGCATATTGCAACAAGTCATTTCACGTAAGAAAAACTCGTTCTACATCAAATGTAAATTAATTATACTAGAATAAAATAAAATGTTTCCACTCTGTTCGAAAAAAAAAATAAAGAAAAGAAAAAGCATATACGTAATATATATAAGAATAAGGTACAACGAGATATTTTGCGTATATGTAAAAAAAATATTTTTATATTTTTATAATATAAAAATAACAAATACGAAACATTTTATATTTTTCATAAATTAATATTTTATTATTAACAATAGAAAAATCTATTGTACTCACAATTTTTTCTAGTATCTCATCGGAGATCGGAGGATAACGAAGCCACAACAAGATTTGTAACATGACGTTATCGACTCACACTGTCAACATCCTCGATTAAATTTTTGATTTTTTATTTGTCGTGTTGGCACGACTAGGGACGCGTTCGAAAATCCTACCCGTTAGGTAAAGTTAGGTTTCATTGACCAATTAGGACAAAGAAATCTTTGCTCCTTTTGTCCCGATTGGTCAAATCAAATTGGTCAATTTAATTAAATTGGTAGAATTTTCGAACGCACTCTAACGCGCGACCGTTTTAGACCAACCGTTTCCAACCGCTTTCGTTGAGCGTTTTATTAATTAACTGCTTTGGAAATTTGTGTTTTTCAGTGTTTTTATTATTTTAACGAACAATAAGCGACGTAATCACGGCGAGTTAAGATCGCGTGATGACTAGCTAAGCTGTATCAGCTCACATCGAAGTGCAAAATTTGAAATGTAGCCTGTGAGGAAGCGAATGGGCAGGTGAACGAATACGTTCTTTGTGTTCAAACGTCTTTTATGCAGGTCAAGCCATTTCGAAATTCATCGGGATGAGCGCGACACCCGATAAAGACGAGCGTAGAAAACGCTCGCTGGAAGCCGGCAGAGAAATGGCAAGCCTCCTCTTTTTCTTTTCTCTATTATCGAGACGTTCATCGTTTCTACTGTGTATTCTTTTTGTTTACTCCAATTACATCATTTGTTTATATTATTAATTTTATGCTCATGTTAATTTGCTATCTGTTTCATCAACTCTATTTTCAATAAATAGCACAGTCTGCGTTATAAGAATATATTATTAAGATCTGATGTATTTAATAATAATTTCGACTTTTCGTTACAGTTGGAGAAATACAAAGCAAAGCGATCTAGTAAAAACATAGGTACAAATATGCAATGCGTGGAACAGTCTGACGACGAATCATTACACAACGAAAAATCTACATTGGTTAAAGAATCTGGCGTAAGGATAAAAAACAATAGCTTTGCGTAATTGTATATTTAACATACAGTATTTTTTTGCATAATTAGTATTGATTGTTCATGTTATATTTTTCTTTTTACGTAAAGATAAATGAAGATATATCCTCGAGAGATATAACACACAGCAGTGTAAGTATAAGCGAAGGAGATGGTGATCTAGAAGGATTAGCAGGACGTGTTGCAGAACTGGAAGAATTATTACAAGGGAAAGAAGCTATAGTTGGAGCTTTAAATGCAAGGTACAACGAGATATTTTGCGTATATGTAAAAAAAATATTTTTATATTTTTATAATATAAAAATAACAAATACGAAACATTTTATATTTTTCATAAATTAATATTTTATTATTAACAATAGAAAAATCTATTGTACTCACAATTTTTTCTAGTATCTCATCGGAGATCGGAGGATAACGAAGCCACAACAAGATTTGTAACATGACGTTATCGACTCACACTGTCAACATCCTCGATTAAATTTTTGATTTTTTATTTGTCGTGTTGGCACGACTAGGGACGCGTTCGAAAATCCTACCCGTTAGGTAAAGTTAGGTTTCATTGACCAATTAGGACAAAGAAATCTTTGCTCCTTTTGTCCCGATTGGTCAAATCAAATTGGTCAATTTAATTAAATTGGTAGAATTTTCGAACGCACTCTAACGCGCGACCGTTTTAGACCAACCGTTTCCAACCGCTTTCGTTGAGCGTTTTATTAATTAACTGCTTTGGAAATTTGTGTTTTTCAGTGTTTTTATTATTTTAACGAACAATAAGCGACGTAATCACGGCGAGTTAAGATCGCGTGATGACTAGCTAAGCTGTATCAGCTCACATCGAAGTGCAAAATTTGAAATGTAGCCTGTGAGGAAGCGAATGGGCAGGTGAACGAATACGTTCTTTGTGTTCAAACGTCTTTTATGCAGGTCAAGCCATTTCGAAATTCGTCGGGATGAGCGCGACACCCGATAAAGACGAGCGTAGAAAACGCTCGCTGGAAGCCGGCAGAGAAATGGCAAGCCTCCTCTTTTTCTTTTCTCTATTATCGAGACGTTCATCGTTTCTACTGTGTATTCTTTTTGTTTACTCCAATTACATCATTTGTTTATATTATTAATTTTATGCTCATGTTAATTTGCTATCTGTTTCATCAACTCTATTTTCAATAAATAGCACAGTCTGCGTTATAAGAATATATTATTAAGATCTGATGTATTTAATAATAATTTCGACTTTTCGTTACAGTTGGAGAAATACAAAGCAAAGCGATCTAGTAAAAACATAGGTACAAATATGCAATGCGTGGAACAGTCTGACGACGAATCATTACACAACGAAAAATCTACATTGGTTAAAGAATCTGGCGTAAGGATAAAAAACAATAGCTTTGCGTAATTGTATATTTAACATACAGTATTTTTTTGCATAATTAGTATTGATTGTTCATGTTATATTTTTCTTTTTACGTAAAGATAAATGAAGATATATCCTCGAGAGATATAACACACAGCAGTGTAAGTATAAGCGAAGGAGATGGTGATCTAGAAGGATTAGCAGGACGTGTTGCAGAACTGGAAGAATTATTACAAGGGAAAGAAGCTATAGTTGGAGCTTTAAATGCAGAAATTGATCATCTGCGAGCTGAGACATCCTCTCCAAATTCATCACAAAGCCAGAGCAGTAGTGTACATGGAAGAGATATTATATCTTTGTATCATATAAAAGTAAGTCACATATTTGAACAGAATTTTTTTTTCAAAAGTTAGAAAAAAAAATTAAAACAGTAATACTCTCACTTCTTTTTTTTTTTTGATATATTTGATAAACTTTTTCTTTTCTTTTTCCTAATCTACTTTAATAAGAGTTCTGCTATGATTTCAATTCCAAATAATAATAGCCTGAAGATAGCTTGTAATTTTACTGGGTTTTTTTTTGTATATAAATATATCTTGCTGAATTAATTACCATTATGTAATATTTTTCTTGTCAAACAGTTGCAAGAATTTGAAAAAGCACTGTATCAACGTGATAATCTAATAGAACACTTGACAGCATCTTTAGAGCAAGCATTATCTGCCAGAGATGCTGTCACAGGACAACTTAATGCCTTAAATACCATGCAGATCGACAATCCTGTGATAAATAACATGAACTTGCAGCAAAAAGTAAATACCACATACTTCATGTTTTTGCACTTTGTAATTTCTAACGATGATAACCTTATTAGATGATAAACAATTATGAATGTTTTAGATTGAGGCTCTGGAAACAACAATGAACGATAAAGAAGCGTCAATACGTCGGTTGAACGCGCATTTGACAGATATTCGTAAACATGTACAAACATTGGAGATGGAAAGAGAAACGCGAAACGCAGAAATCAATGATTATAAATTGCAGATAGATAATCTAACTGAGCAAATTCGTCTCAGTGCTTCGGAGAAAAATGTAAACATTGATGAAACCTTGGCACAACAGAAACAATATGAAGCACGTGTTGACAAGATCAAACAGGATATGCAGCATATTTTGAACAAATTTACCACTGTAACAAATGCCAATGCAACGCGTCATCAGCAAGAATTAAAGGTAAGTGCTTTATTGTAATATTCTTTTATAATAATTCTTTTATATAATATTATATAACTTTTTGTTTAAATATTTTAATTATACAGAGTGAGTTAAGAGAAGAGGGAAATATTTTGGGAGACGATAGTATGGATCAGCGTAAAAAAAAAGTTTATATGAACATGATTATTATTCTCAATAGTTTTGAAGATACAGCTGTTTGAATGTTGTGGAAGTACAATAATAATTAATGATACATGTGTTATGTTCGCAACAAATGCTCAAGAATGAATCATGAACGTCAATATACTTTACAACTTGTGTTCTAAGATTGCTTGTCGTTCCTCTGAATGTAGCGTGCTGTTCTTTTGTACGAGTAGCAGCATTCAAAATACGAACAATCAATTAAGAATAATAACCATGTTCATATAAACTTTCTTTACAATGACCCATACTATCACCTCCCAAAATATTTCCCTCTTCTGATTCACCCTGTATAATTATATGACTTTTTTATTTAAAAAACGAACAAAGAAACGGGCAATCAGAGCCAAGCGCAGTAATTTGGTGCAAAGAATTTAATGTTAAAAAATTATAAATAAATATACAAAGAACATGTTTCTTACAGAGCCTTTATAACTTGTAATTTAATAATTTTTTATTTAAATATAATTGTAGGAATTAACCATAAAAAACGAAACTGAAATTGCCGATATAAAAGCCAAGCATGACGAATGTATCAAAGTACTGAAGGATGAAAACAAAATGTTAGCCGATCGTTTAAACAAGGAATTGCCAAACTTGGAAAGCAGGCATGCCAAGGAATTGTCCGTTTTTCAAACGCAATTGGCCCATTATAAGAAAACTGTCGAAGCATTAAAGCTCGAATTGATGAATCATGCCGAATCCCAAAAAGTGGCTCAATCTGAAGCCCATTTGTACTCAAATGTAAATTAATTATACTAGAATAAAATAAAATGTTTCCACTCTGTTCGAAAAAAAAAATAAAGAAAAGAAAAAGCATATACGTAATATATATAAGAATAAGGTACAACGAGATATTTTGCGTATATGTAAAAAAAATATTTTTATATTTTTATAATATAAAAATAACAAATACGAAACATTTTATATTTTTCATAAATTAATATTTTATTATTAACAATAGAAAAATCTATTGTACTCACAATTTTTTCTAGTATCTCATCGGAGATCGGAGGATAACGAAGCCACAACAAGATTTGTAACATGACGTTATCGACTCACACTGTCAACATCCTCGATTAAATTTTTGATTTTTTATTTGTCGTGTTGGCACGACTAGGGACGCGTTCGAAAATCCTACCCGTTAGGTAAAGTTAGGTTTCATTGACCAATTAGGACAAAGAAATCTTTGCTCCTTTTGTCCCGATTGGTCAAATCAAATTGGTCAATTTAATTAAATTGGTAGAATTTTCGAACGCACTCTAACGCGCGACCGTTTTAGACCAACCGTTTCCAACCGCTTTCGTTGAGCGTTTTATTAATTAACTGCTTTGGAAATTTGTGTTTTTCAGTGTTTTTATTATTTTAACGAACAATAAGCGACGTAATCACGGCGAGTTAAGATCGCGTGATGACTAGCTAAGCTGTATCAGCTCACATCGAAGTGCAAAATTTGAAATGTAGCCTGTGAGGAAGCGAATGGGCAGGTGAACGAATACGTTCTTTGTGTTCAAACGTCTTTTATGCAGGTCAAGCCATTTCGAAATTCATCGGGATGAGCGCGACACCCGATAAAGACGAGCGTAGAAAACGCTCGCTGGAAGCCGGCAGAGAAATGGCAAGCCTCCTCTTTTTCTTTTCTCTATTATCGAGACGTTCATCGTTTCTACTGTGTATTCTTTTTGTTTACTCCAATTACATCATTTGTTTATATTATTAATTTTATGCTCATGTTAATTTGCTATCTGTTTCATCAACTCTATTTTCAATAAATAGCACAGTCTGCGTTATAAGAATATATTATTAAGATCTGATGTATTTAATAATAATTTCGACTTTTCGTTACAGTTGGAGAAATACAAAGCAAAGCGATCTAGTAAAAACATAGGTACAAATATGCAATGCGTGGAACAGTCTGACGACGAATCATTACACAACGAAAAATCTACATTGGTTAAAGAATCTGGCGTAAGGATAAAAAACAATAGCTTTGCGTAATTGTATATTTAACATACAGTATTTTTTTGCATAATTAGTATTGATTGTTCATGTTATATTTTTCTTTTTACGTAAAGATAAATGAAGATATATCCTCGAGAGATATAACACACAGCAGTGTAAGTATAAGCGAAGGAGATGGTGATCTAGAAGGATTAGCAGGACGTGTTGCAGAACTGGAAGAATTATTACAAGGGAAAGAAGCTATAGTTGGAGCTTTAAATGCAGAAATTGATCATCTGCGAGCTGAGACATCCTCTCCAAATTCATCACAAAGCCAGAGCAGTAGTGTACATGGAAGAGATATTATATCTTTGTATCATATAAAAGTAAGTCACATATTTGAACAGAATTTTTTTTTCAAAAGTTAGAAAAAAAAATTAAAACAGTAATACTCTCACTTCTTTTTTTTTTTTGATATATTTGATAAACTTTTTCTTTTCTTTTTCCTAATCTACTTTAATAAGAGTTCTGCTATGATTTCAATTCCAAATAATAATAGCCTGAAGATAGCTTGTAATTTTACTGGGTTTTTTTTTGTATATAAATATATCTTGCTGAATTAATTACCATTATGTAATATTTTTCTTGTCAAACAGTTGCAAGAATTTGAAAAAGCACTGTATCAACGTGATAATCTAATAGAACACTTGACAGCATCTTTAGAGCAAGCATTATCTGCCAGAGATGCTGTCACAGGACAACTTAATGCCTTAAATACCATGCAGATCGACAATCCTGTGATAAATAACATGAACTTGCAGCAAAAAGTAAATACCACATACTTCATGTTTTTGCACTTTGTAATTTCTAACGATGATAACCTTATTAGATGATAAACAATTATGAATGTTTTAGATTGAGGCTCTGGAAACAACAATGAACGATAAAGAAGCGTCAATACGTCGGTTGAACGCGCATTTGACAGATATTCGTAAACATGTACAAACATTGGAGATGGAAAGAGAAACGCGAAACGCAGAAATCAATGATTATAAATTGCAGATAGATAATCTAACTGAGCAAATTCGTCTCAGTGCTTCGGAGAAAAATGTAAACATTGATGAAACCTTGGCACAACAGAAACAATATGAAGCACGTGTTGACAAGATCAAACAGGATATGCAGCATATTTTGAACAAATTTACCACTGTAACAAATGCCAATGCAACGCGTCATCAGCAAGAATTAAAGGTAAGTGCTTTATTGTAATATTCTTTTATAATAATTCTTTTATATAATATTATATAACTTTTTGTTTAAATATTTTAATTATACAGAGTGAGTTAAGAGAAGAGGGAAATATTTTGGGAGACGATAGTATGGATCAGCGTAAAAAAAAAGTTTATATGAACATGATTATTATTCTCAATAGTTTTGAAGATACAGCTGTTTGAATGTTGTGGAAGTACAATAATAATTAATGATACATGTGTTATGTTCGCAACAAATGCTCAAGAATGAATCATGAACGTCAATATACTTTACAACTTGTGTTCTAAGATTGCTTGTCGTTCCTCTGAATGTAGCGTGCTGTTCTTTTGTACGAGTAGCAGCATTCAAAATACGAACAATCAATTAAGAATAATAACCATGTTCATATAAACTTTCTTTACAATGACCCATACTATCACCTCCCAAAATATTTCCCTCTTCTGATTCACCCTGTATAATTATATGACTTTTTTATTTAAAAAACGAACAAAGAAACGGGCAATCAGAGCCAAGCGCAGTAATTTGGTGCAAAGAATTTAATGTTAAAAAATTATAAATAAATATACAAAGAACATGTTTCTTACAGAGCCTTTATAACTTGTAATTTAATAATTTTTTATTTAAATATAATTGTAGGAATTAACCATAAAAAACGAAACTGAAATTGCCGATATAAAAGCCAAGCATGACGAATGTATCAAAGTACTGAAGGATGAAAACAAAATGTTAGCCGATCGTTTAAACAAGGAATTGCCAAACTTGGAAAGCAGGCATGCCAAGGAATTGTCCGTTTTTCAAACGCAATTGGCCCATTATAAGAAAACTGTCGAAGCATTAAAGCTCGAATTGATGAATCATGCCGAATCCCAAAAAGTGGCTCAATCTGAAGCCCATTTGTACAAATCAAAACTCGACGAATTGAGATTTGAAGCAGAGAACGAACGACGTATGCAAAGTCTACACTTTCAAAAGGAGAAGGAATTGTTAAATGAACAAATCAAACTGCACAAAATTCAGCTAGAGGAAATCACGTCGAAGCACATTGCAACGATGAGCATTCTCGAGTCCAAGGAGAGTATTGAACGATCGCTAGAACAGGCTTTATCGAATGCCACTATGCTAAAGCAGGAGAACGACTCGCTGAAATATAAGCTGGATGATTTGTCGTGCAGATATTCAGCGGCACAGTCGATGATAGAAAACAGTCAGATGCATGAAAGAACTCTGAGTGGTAAGATATATGAACTAGAAAGGTCTTTGTCGCGATTCGACGCTACGAGCGTCAGCACAGTTAGCGAACTAGGTGAAACCATGTACAAGACTTTTGATGATGAAGCTCTTCAGCACCAAATGATAAAACGAAAGTTTGAGGATAAAATGGAGATGGAAAGACTATTGGTTGAAAAAATTCACATTCTCGAAGAAGATTTGGGCAAAGCGAACGATAAGCTAGAACAGACCGATCTCGCAAAGAAAACCTATGAAAAACAGCTGAAAGATATGAAAAATACATGTGACAAGCTGCAACAGGAAGTTAATTCCTTGAAAGAAATCAATCATGCGATGTCTCATGATAATTCTACTCAAGAATATTTTGAGAGCGATATTCCAGCGAATGTTGATTTGGCGCGACATGTAGAAGCTCAACAAAGAGAAATTGAGAGTCTGAAGCTACTCATGGAACAGAAAGAAACAGAGAATGTGAAATGTAAAAAAGATTTAATTGAAATAACAGAGAAAACGAAAAAGCTGGAAGCACAATGCGAACAATTAAGAGACGGCTTGGTCCAGGCTTGGACTCAATGCGCTGAGTTTGAAGAAAAATTGAACCAAACTGCGACGAGTGATAGCAGTAAAGTCAATACTTCCTTAAATAGTACGACTTCCAAGCACTTTAAAGCAAATCAAAGTTTGGATGACAGTGTTAGAAAAAAAAATTAAAACAGTAATACTCTCACTTCTTTTTTTTTTTTGATATATTTGATAAACTTTTTCTTTTCTTTTTCCTAATCTACTTTAATAAGAGTTCTGCTATGATTTCAATTCCAAATAATAATAGCCTGAAGATAGCTTGTAATTTTACTGGGTTTTTTTTTGTATATAAATATATCTTGCTGAATTAATTACCATTATGTAATATTTTTCTTGTCAAACAGTTGCAAGAATTTGAAAAAGCACTGTATCAACGTGATAATCTAATAGAACACTTGACAGCATCTTTAGAGCAAGCATTATCTGCCAGAGATGCTGTCACAGGACAACTTAATGCCTTAAATACCATGCAGATCGACAATCCTGTGATAAATAACATGAACTTGCAGCAAAAAGTAAATACCACATACTTCATGTTTTTGCACTTTGTAATTTCTAACGATGATAACCTTATTAGATGATAAACAATTATGAATGTTTTAGATTGAGGCTCTGGAAACAACAATGAACGATAAAGAAGCGTCAATACGTCGGTTGAACGCGCATTTGACAGATATTCGTAAACATGTACAAACATTGGAGATGGAAAGAGAAACGCGAAACGCAGAAATCAATGATTATAAATTGCAGATAGATAATCTAACTGAGCAAATTCGTCTCAGTGCTTCGGAGAAAAATGTAAACATTGATGAAACCTTGGCACAACAGAAACAATATGAAGCACGTGTTGACAAGATCAAACAGGATATGCAGCATATTTTGAACAAATTTACCACTGTAACAAATGCCAATGCAACGCGTCATCAGCAAGAATTAAAGGTAAGTGCTTTATTGTAATATTCTTTTATAATAATTCTTTTATATAATATTATATAACTTTTTGTTTAAATATTTTAATTATACAGAGTGAGTTAAGAGAAGAGGGAAATATTTTGGGAGACGATAGTATGGATCAGCGTAAAAAAAAAGTTTATATGAACATGATTATTATTCTCAATAGTTTTGAAGATACAGCTGTTTGAATGTTGTGGAAGTACAATAATAATTAATGATACATGTGTTATGTTCGCAACAAATGCTCAAGAATGAATCATGAACGTCAATATACTTTACAACTTGTGTTCTAAGATTGCTTGTCGTTCCTCTGAATGTAGCGTGCTGTTCTTTTGTACGAGTAGCAGCATTCAAAATACGAACAATCAATTAAGAATAATAACCATGTTCATATAAACTTTCTTTACAATGACCCATACTATCGCCTCCCAAAATATTTCCCTCTTCTGATTCACCCTGTATAATTATATGACTTTTTTATTTAAAAAACGAACAAAGAAACGGGCAATCAGAGCCAAGCGCAGTAATTTGGTGCAAAGAATTTAATGTTAAAAAATTATAAATAAATATACAAAGAACATGTTTCTTACAGAGCCTTTATAACTTGTAATTTAATAATTTTTTATTTAAATATAATTGTAGGAATTAACCATAAAAAACGAAACTGAAATTGCCGATATAAAAGCCAAGCATGACGAATGTATCAAAGTACTGAAGGATGAAAACAAAATGTTAGCCGATCGTTTAAACAAGGAATTGCCAAACTTGGAAAGCAGGCATGCCAAGGAATTGTCCGTTTTTCAAACGCAATTGGCCCATTATAAGAAAACTGTCGAAGCATTAAAGCTCGAATTGATGAATCATGCCGAATCCCAAAAAGTCGCTCAATCTGAAGCCCATTTGTACAAATCAAAACTCGACGAATTGAGATTTGAAGCAGAGAACGAACGACGTATGCAAAGTCTACACTTTCAAAAGGAGAAGGAATTGTTAAATGAACAAATCAAACTGCACAAAATTCAGCTAGAGGAAATCACGTCGAAGCACATTGCAACGATGAGCATTCTCGAGTCCAAGGAGAGTATTGAACGATCGCTAGAACAGGCTTTATCGAATGCCACTATGCTAAAGCAGGAGAACGACTCGCTGAAATATAAGCTGGATGATTTGTCGTGCAGATATTCAGCGGCACAGTCGATGATAGAAAACAGTCAGATGCATGAAAGAACTCTGAGTGGTAAGATATATGAACTAGAAAGGTCTTTGTCGCGATTCGACGCTACGAGCGTCAGCACAGTTAGCGAACTAGGTGAAACCATGTACAAGACTTTTGATGATGAAGCTCTTCAGCACCAAATGATAAAACGAAAGTTTGAGGATAAAATGGAGATGGAAAGACTATTGGTTGAAAAAATTCACATTCTCGAAGAAGATTTGGGCAAAGCGAACGATAAGCTAGAACAGACCGATCTCGCAAAGAAAACCTATGAAAAACAGCTGAAAGATATGAAAAATACATGTGACAAGCTGCAACAGGAAGTTAATTCCTTGAAAGAAATCAATCATGCGATGTCTCATGATAATTCTACTCAAGAATATTTTGAGAGCGATATTCCAGCGAATGTTGATTTGGCGCGACATGTAGAAGCTCAACAAAGAGAAATTGAGAGTCTGAAGCTACTCATGGAACAGAAAGAAACAGAGAATGTGAAATGTAAAAAAGATTTAATTGAAATAACAGAGAAAACGAAAAAGCTGGAAGCACAATGCGAACAATTAAGAGACGGCTTGGTCCAGGCTTGGACTCAATGCGCTGAGTTTGAAGAAAAATTGAACCAAACTGCGACGAGTGATAGCAGTAAAGTCAATACTTCCTTAAATAGTACGACTTCCAAGCACTTTAAAGCAAATCAAAGTTTGGATGACAGTGCATCAGATCAAAATATAATAGATCAAACAAAAGCTCCAGAAACAAACATTACTGATATCAGCACATTAGTAGATAATAGTAACGTGAAAAACAGCGAGAATTTACATAAGGAAATGCAGCAAATTCTGGAAGGCGAATTAAGCGTAGATAAGATTAAGTTCAAGTTATGTCGTTATTACACGGTATGCGAGAAAATAGCCGCCGAAAAAGCGCTGCTCTCAATGGAGAACGCCGCTTTACGAATGGAGAAGGAACTTCTAAGCCAAGAAATCCAGGACATTATAACTCGATGTAAAGAAGAACTAGAATCTGTTAAAGCGGATTCTGCCAAAGAAATCAACAGATTGCAGTTGTTGGTGCAGACTTTCAAATCATTTCAGGCAAGTCTTTATTCTTATTTGGTGTTTTTCCTGTTTCCATTTGGGGAGTTTCTTACAATGTTTATGCTTATGCTCTTATATAGTTTTTCTACTATAACCCTTTTTTAATTGTATTTTTTTTCTTTTTTTTCTCAAGAATGGGAATGACACCAATGATATAAAAGCTGAACTTAATGCACGCCATGCTAAGGAGATGGAGGAACTTCGAACATACTTCGAGCAAAAGTGCTTGCAGATGGAAAAGCAATATTCCGAGGAGATTTTCAGCCAGCAATCAAAACGGATTTCTGACAATGATAGTGAAACCGAAGAGCTAACAGATGATCTATATTTTGGTGGTGCAGGCGATTGTTTGAACGCGTCCAATTCCCGAGCAGCGATTTCTGATGCCAACGAAGAATCTCTGAAGGACAAGATACTGGATGCTGAAAAACAAGCGCGTCTCGAAACAGAATACGAAAATAGTATCCAAGCATTGAGGCAAGAATTGGAACATAAAGTGAAGAAAATTCAAATTATCAAGGCTGACTATGAGAAAGCAATCAAAGAACAGAAAGAGTTGCATGAATGTCAAATTCGCGATATTGAAGCAAAACTGGAACGTTCGTCTGCTATATCCATTGTGCACCAGGTGAGAAAAAATTTTCTAATTATTATGATACTTCGCTTTATTAATAACATACGTTTGTTGATAATAGCAATTTTTGTGCAATACTTAATGTGTGTTGTATGCAAAGACTGTTTGCTTGCAATAGTAATATTCGAATATGCTATTATAAAACAGCTCAAATTTTAAAAGTATCGATATATAAATGCTACAAAATTCTTCATATTTAAAGAAATGGAAAATATTTAAATTTTCTTGAATGAATTTCAATTCTAAAACAATATAAAACCACTATATTGCTTTTTTCATATTCTGCATACAATTCTTCAGAAACTCTTCACGAAACAGAATTTTAATAGCCTATCTTGTTGAAATGTATATGTAAATCTTATTTCTTCATAAAATAGATATCAACAATTAATTGAGAAATTCGAATTAAAATTTATTATATTTTATCTCTGTTAAAAATAGAACAAAGTTTTTATATATATAATTAGAATTAATTAGATATACTTATACTCGATTGGATTCATTATATTTATTATAAAAAGTTATGACAAAATTTTTATTATAAAATTCATGAAGCGTGTTAAAATGTAGATGCATGGCGTGATCAGCGTGCACTAATTATTATTAGTACATTTCTCATCTTAGTATGATCTTGAGATCTCTAGAAAAAAAAAATCTTTTGTTCTACAATCTCTATGATCTTTTTTATTTATTATAATTAATGCATTTTCTTCTTTTATACTATACCAATAAAAAAAATAAATTATTTCATTATGATAATTTATATCAAAGTGCAAATTTACTTGTGACTAACATACCGCTATGCGACTTCATATTTGCATGCAGTATTGTCAGACAGAATGGGAGGCATCGGAAAATGGTGAATTATCGAGACTGCGTGACGCGTATAATCATCAATTGGAAGAACAGGTCGCACTAGCTAGACAGGACATTGTCAACGCTCTTCAAGAACAATTTCAGGTAGATGTGGATCATCAGAAACTGGGCTGATTGAGAATGAAATATAAGGGGAATAAACATTAGCTACAATTTTTCAAAAATAATTTATAATTTCTGTATGTGTTACTTCGTATGTTGCCATAAAAGCTTTTGCTACTAGAATTTGCCTTTGTATTTGTGTAATGATTTATTAAAAGCCATTAGATGTTTATTAAAAATCTGTTGTAATTATGTGCAGGCACTATTATCAGTGGAAGCAGATAAAGAAGATAATTGGCCAACCGAATTGTTAGAACTACGAGATAAATTTACATGCAATGCTAAGCAAGAAATTCAGGAAATAAAAAAAATGCATAGTGCTGAATTAACTCATCTGAGAGATGAACACGATTGCATTGTAGCACGAATGTGTGAGCAACACCAAAGAGAAATCGCCATTCTTAAGACTCAGAATCCAGGTAATAATCAAGAAGTTGGCTATGTTGGATCTTCAGATAATATCATGGAAGAAAGGTAATTGATAAAATATTATCTTATAATTTTAACACAATCATAGAAAACTTAGTCATTGAAAATATTTAACATATATTTTTTTAAATATTTAATATTTTATATTATTGAAAGATTTAATATTCGAATTGATTTCTAATATTGAGAATTAAAATAATTAGAGTCTTGGATTTCCAAAGACCACAATATGAAAAATACTTAACTCTACAAATATTTTATCATGCTTAGATATACAATGTCAAATTTTTATTAGGGATAACTTAAAGAAGACATGTATAACTCTCAAAAATTTGATTGGGGAATTAGTTAATTATTTTGCCATCTGTGAAGAAGAAGTTAACAACACTCTGATCAATGAAGTTCTGAAAAGACAATTAACAGAGTCCGTCTTTACTCATGAAGGAAATTTAAGCAAGGACGACAGTGTTATATCAGAAACACAATACAAAGACCAAAAATCCAACTTATCCATTAAAAGGGTCCATTTTGCTCCACAATCGAGCAAAATAAATTCTATTGTTAACAGCGATAACAAGACATGGGTTGAGGAAGACATGGATGAGATATTAAGAAAGGAGTTAAAGGCTTGTTTAAGACGTCTAAAGTCGGATAGCACACAAATACTCAATCTTTCGCTACCAAACAACGAAGACAATATTGCATTGCCATCAAAAGAGACTCTCTTAGCAAGTCAAATTAATGAAGAGCTTTCCTTGAAACTGAATCATGCTGAAGCTTTGATAATAGGCTATCAAGAAGAAGCAGAACAATTAAAATTGCATATTTTGGACCTACAACAAAAATTGATTAGCGCAGAGAGCAAAAAAGAAGTCATCACAGAGGGATACGGCGAAAGTGATCTCTCTGGAATTGATATAACACTGCCAGACTTTTTACAGGTGCAAGAAAAAGGTAAATTTTGTATCTAACTTTTGTATCAATTAATAGCTTATTTATTAAACATATATAGAATTAATTATGTTATATAATTTATTTTACGGATCAATTATAATTTCAATATCTTGGAGAAAAAAGATATTTAATTCGATATCGAACTGAAAAGTTATATTGATTGCTCTCGATTGATCTCGATATGTGTGTATCATTTCAGTAGTACACTTATGTTTTGCATTTTTAATATTTTTTTTATATGATATGTTTTTATATATAATTTGCAGCTAAACATGTATTATCGAATGGCGGTGGCGACGCATCTTATTTACTGCAATTGATAGAGGAGTTGTGCAGGCAAAATGACAAACTAATAGACGATTCTAAAAGAGAAAAGGAGGATTTACAACAACAGGTAAAATCATTCATTTTTATTATTCGTCAAAATGCATTGTTGCATGATTTCTGATTATTCGATATTGGTATGTCGATACAGTGATGAGTATTGTGGTGTACTGTTCATTGAAAAACACGACTTGTCTTTGTAATTCATCACAATTCCAGACACTTCCGTATTCACAAGCTTCATATAGATATTACATTTATATCGTACCTGTTTATCATATAGCAATACACACACAATTAATAAAAATATTTGTTTTTCTTTACATGGCATGTTTTCTACACAATTTATTAATATATATATATACATTTACTTTTTTTTTTTTAACTATTGGAAGAGATTAAAAATAGTAATCCTTTGTCACACACACTATACAGAGTGTCTTAAGAAAACTGAATATTGAAGTGCTTGAATTTTGAGATCTTTGGCTTCTGCATATTATTGGTTGGAATCACAAATTTTTCTCAAGTTTTTCAAATCTCTACGTTCTTTTATTTTAGATACTTAGATATATAAATTTTCATTTTGCTTGCACTTTATAATTTTCAGACACTGAAGTTCTTAATTATCTGTATTGATAATTAGAATATTTTGAACATTCCAATAATTTATTTCGAGAATAAATAAATTTACACATTCACTTTTCCTCATATATCCTGTATATAAACTAATTACAGTATTTTTCAGTAATTTTTAAAAAGGCCAGAATTTAGAACATTGTGCGCGTATGGCAATTATATATAATTCTTCCATAAATAAATATTTGATTAATCACATAGTTAATAAAGAGAATTCTCCAAATCAAAAATGCATAGTTCTGCGATGCAGGTTTTAAGAGATTGATTGGCGTTCTTGTCTTGCCAGCAGGTACCTTTAGAACCCACTCCTACCCCATACATTCACAGGGTTTGCTGCAAAAAGGTAAATTATAGAATTACTAATATTAATGTAAACGCTCTTCGCGTAAGTTACTCTTCCAAATCGGCTATAATAAATTAATGCACGTGTAACGCTCTATCACAATTAGAAAGTGTAAATAATTTTTTATTGAAATATCATTTATCTCATTTCTAACACCCATTTGTAATACTAATTACACATACGTTTGTGTTGTAGTGCTACTAAAATGTGTTGCATGTTGTTGCATGTTAATATTTATTATGTGGTGTTGCAATATATAATAACCGTTTTGCATGCTATATTGTAGCCGCGTTTTATTGTAATGCATAAAACGACTCCCCTTTTTATTATCTAATATGTTGCTATTAATTATTTTATTATTTGTGAATAAAACACATTATAACTAACATAATGACTAAAAGCATTGTCAAATAATTGAAATCCAATTAATATTGTTTCTAAGGATTGCAGATCTAAAAAAAAAAATTATTTTATTTCTTTTAAAATTCTTTTTTAAAACCCACAAATTTTGACTTTTTAAGTTCATTAACATAACTTTTTCACTTGGGATTTGTATAATTTCGAAAAATTCTTGAATATTTGAAAAAATCTTGACAATGTATTTATTTTATTTTTAAATTATATCTTAAAACGAGAGAATCAAATTCTGCACAAATTTGTCGAGTTGTCTACTAGCCCAAAAAAAAAATAAAAATGGAAATGTATCTATGATAAAAATTTATCACTATACATTTCTTTAACAATTATTCATTACTTCTAACTGTAATTATTTTTATCCAGATTGAAGCAGCGGACAAGCAATTGCGAGCAACGCGCCGATTTTTGGACGAGCAAGCGAGCGAGCGCGAGATGGAGCGGGATGAAGCCGCGAAACAAATTCAGCTTTTGCAAGAACAGCTCAAGGAACGCGAGCGTAAGAAGGAGAGAGATATGCGAATTAGTTCTGAGGTAAAACTTTTCTTAAAAATTTTATTCCTTTAAATGTGATGATTTTTTTGTTAAATACGAACACAGAGCATACGCTTTTTGTAATCACCCGCTGGCTAACTAGGGTTTACTGTCTTTTTAATTAATCCTTAGTTAGTTGATACTGTCAAAAATTGTGATATATATGTCGATTATTTTCGGAAAAGTTTTAGAGACAGACATTGTCCTAGATTTATGAATTTGAGAATTAGATGTCAGGATCCAAAAATGTAGAAATCTGAACAGACTTTAAGAAATATAATATCATAATAATTTGATTATCACTCTAAACTAATTTAAGGATTAATTAACGCAGACAATTCTAAATTCACTTTAGCAGTTATTGCACTAACCAGGAAATTTTAACTGGCATAACGACTGCCATTTCTAAAACTTAACTACAGGTCTCTGTGGTTTATTTTAATGTTAAATTTAACCTAGACTTAAGGCTGCTAAAAAAAGAACCTATGTCACTTACCCATGAAAAATGAGGTCAAATTTAAGCTTATATTGTACAAGATCCCTTTATATATTTAAATTATAACAACATTGCCATTTAAAAAATATGTATAGATTGCAAATACATATTATATGTAAATTATAATTACAGTCTAGCAATCAAATTTACCAATATTTTTATACAATTCTATACGCTAATAGCGCGTTGTTTTTATAAATTTTGGATAAAGTCACATAATATACTTATTTCTATAAAAAAATAGTCCAATGTATTTATTTCTATTAAAAACATTAGAGATAAAAAATACTAGATAAAACTTACATTTTATAGAATATGCGATTTGATCAACAATTCCCTTTTTGAAACAATTCTATTGAAAACACAAATGTAATACAGAATTTAAATTTAACTACAATTGAAAGAATTATTATTTTGGAAATTAATTGTATCGCTGGCAATTAATGTCACGCATCACTACTAATTGTATTAACACAAATTTTTCTGCACTCTGGTTTGGGTTTTCTATTTGTCGCACAAAGCAGTCTGAGCTATCATCTGAAACAACTTCAGGCATCCCTGAACTTCAAACCACGACCAATGCAACTGTGAGTGATATTGTATTTAATTTCATTTTTTGATCTTCTAATCTTTTTCTTTATTAACATACAGTGGCTAAGATAAATGTGTTTACTAAAATGTTATTTAGCAAATTGTGTGGCCATACAGTTTACTTGTTTATTTTATCTATTCCAAATAATATTGAGAAAAGTTAAATGCACTCAATGTATTTGAATGCTTCACAGATTAAAAGATTAAAAAATATGACATAATGAATAAGTTCAGACTACTTGACAAAAATATGTTTTACTTATTTTGTTTTTTATAGCTTTTCTGTATAATTTTTATTTAGTAAGTAATTATATAATTCTTTTTTGTATCATTAATTTTACACACACACGCACTCACACGCACACACACACACACACACATACATATTGTTTTCTTTTTTTATCCACTGTATGTTAGCATAAAATTATTGTAAAAACAGATATAATACATACTATATCTCTATGCTTTATATGTTGGGTCATGCTTGATTGGAATTGTAGGTGACATCCTGAAAAAAGCGATGCATTAATAACTCGCATATATGTCTACTATATATGTGATTTATGATTTATAGGTGGAGGCTCTTGAATCTCAGATGAGAGAAATGTCGTCGTTAATGTCCGACACAGAGGCGAAGAAATCGGAAAAGGAAAGTGAATTGAAGGCTGCGGTGGATAAAATATGGGTCTTACGAGATGTCATTGCTGACTTGGAGCAAAGGTTACAAGATAAGATTGAAAGGGAAGAATCCTTGCAATTGCAAATCAGTCAATTGGAAACCGTAATAACCGCGCAAACAAAGAATCAGCAGGATCTAGTTCAAGAGCTGGACGCTATCAAATCTGGCACTGAAAGCAGACATCTGAATGAACAAATTAATCATTTACGGGTAAATCAGATGGATAATATACATACATAAATTACACATATAAATATAAAAAGAGAAAGGAGAGAGAAAATAACATTACACAAGAGACAATTTTTTTTTCTATGTTTTAGGAGGAATTGAATAAGCACAAGTTAAGCTCAGAGCATTTTAATGTCAATTCGTCTGTCTTGAAGCAAATGAAAGCAGAGCTTCACGAGATGCAAAATCAATTAGACAGAAGAATCCGTGAGTTGGAATCCGTGCACATGTGCGGTTCAAATTTGAGCTTGAGTCAGCCGAGTGAAGACGTTTCGATCAGAGAACAAATCGATGCAACGCGATGTTTGACACCTGATGATCCATCCTCGCCGCCAATGTTACCGCTGGATCAAGTACTCAAGTTAAAAGATAAAATGCTGAAGCACGCACGAGCGGAGGAAGTGGCTTTTAAACGAATCAAAGATCTAGAGATGCAGTTGACAGCGATGAAGAATCAGAATGAGGAATTACTAGCAGAGCAAGAGATTTTACATCAAACAGCATCCGAGCAATTATTCCAGATTGAAGCGATGCGCGGTCGCTTAGAACAACACAAGCAAAGTGCTCCGTTTGCTCAGAAACAGGCAACATCTCGTTTAGAATTACAATTGTACGAAGCTACTACGAAATATCACTCTTTGGAGCAAACTATTACTAATAAAGAGATAGAATTGAAAGAATTGAAAGCTCAACTCGAAAGAACTAATCAAATGCTGGTAGAAAAGGAAGCAGAAATGGAAAATTTTTTACAATCGGAAAATGGCGCACTACGAAAGATTGATCAATTAAAAGATCAATTAAAACTCGTTCAAGAGGAAAAGAAAATGTTGCAAATAAAGCTTGGAAGCCAAGAGCATGCTCAATCGGAACTGCCACAATTGATTGACACCATGTTGTCAGATAAGAACGAGGAGATCGACCATCTGAAAGAGCAATTATCTAGAAAGGAGAAACAATTGAACGTCTATTCATCGCTTGCTTTGGACGAGACACAAATGAAGGATTTGACAAAACAAGCAGAGGCTAAGAACAGCGCGCGAACATTGAGCGATATTCTTTCCATACATTCGGAATGCGAGGAATTCCCTGAAGCTATTCGAGCGATTAATGCAACACACATGATGATATCACAAAATATCTCCAGCATCAGAGTTCCTACATCTGTATCGAAGAACACATTAACTACAAACACTTTTGATACTACACAAACACCTTTACTCAATGTAGACAAAATAGATGCGCAAGTTCCACCATTGGATTTAGATTCACACACACATAGTTTCAGTAATGATGTGCGTCATTCGGAAATGGAGCTACACCATACCGAAGACGAATCAAAATTATCATCTCCTAAGAACAATGATGTCAGCGAAGATTCTCGACAAACCGAAGAATTACTTAATGAAAAGATGAAGGAAATTGAGAACTTGTCAAATCAACTGCAAACTCTGCAACTCGAACTGGAATTAAAGTCCGAGGTTTTAAACAAATATGAAATCGAGTCGGCTTCCATGCAGAAACAATATCAAGAGTTGGAGGATGAGTATAAGGAAATTGTTGAAAACCTGGTACGAGATAAAAATTTTTATAAAGGTCAATATGAATTGACTCAGGCATCGGAGAGTAAAATAAAGAAAGATCTGGAAGAAGTCGAGAATATTTTAAAATTAAAGACAGACGAGCTTGAAGATCACAAGAACAAGATGCAAGTAAATGAAAAGATCATCACAGAGTTGAATATGGAGAACACAAAGCTGAAAAAAGAAATAACAATTAGAGAAAAGGATCAAATAAAAAACAACAGCTTCTTACTGCAGGAGAAGATGCAGGAACTGCAAAGATTCAAGGAACTCGTTCTAGAGAAGGATATTGCACTGGAAACTCTTCAGACACGCAATATTGAAATCGAAAACGAGAACAAGCAGTTGTACGAATTCAAGACGAAGCTTCATACGCGCGAACGGGAGATCGCTGAGTTACATGATGAGATCTTGCGATTGACGGACGGTCTAAATAATCGAGATCAGATTATCCGTAAATTGGAGGAGATAGCAAAACGGACAAGCGATATTCACTCAGGCGCATCGTCGCCTTCATCCTCTGTCAGTAACAAAGACCAAGAAATCCATCATCTGCAGGAGTTTCTGAAAGAAAAGGACAAAGTAATTAGGCAGATGAGCGACGATAGTAAGAGCTTGCAGCAAGCGCTGGAAACTATTCAGAACAAGATGAAAGAATCTGGTAATGTTGTGGAGCTGAGGAGGAAATTGAAGGATGAGCGCAGGCTGAACGAGGAGTTGAAAAATATAGTACAAAAGCTGCAGAAAGAATTAGAGTTAAAAGATGCGTCCGCGCAATGTTCGCAGGACGATAGCGATATTGAAGACATGGTCCAACGAGAACTGAATCTCTCCGCGCGATTGGATAAGCAAATTATGCAAGTTATTAAAAACGATAACAACGAGGAGATCGTCGAAGGAGCGACGAAAGAGTATCAGCAGAAGTTGAGCGAGATCTGTAAAGACAATAAGATACTGAAAAAACTGAAAGAGGATCTCGAAATTGAACGTGATTTAATGAAACATCAGATCGCTGAGTACGAGAATCGTATTCTACAATTGAAGGCGGATTTGGCAGAAGAGACAAAGAAGGTAGTCCAATTAGACAAGGAACTTGTGTCAGAGAGAAACACGGTAAAGTTTTTAAGGATGCAGATAGAAGAACATCGTCGGAAAACGGAAGTGGGACGAGCTCAGGACACAGAGTTGATCGAATTTCTGCAGAAAAAACTGAAAGCCTCTCTGGAGAACGAGGGGAAGCTTCGTAATGATTTAGCATCGATGAGGCAACAGCAGATTAATCTAGAATCACAATTTCTGTCCACGAAGAAATTAATAGAAACCGAAAACTTGCATAGATCCGCTGCAGCTGCGCAAAATAAATCAGAGAGGTATACATGCTAACTTTTAATTTATTTAATCTTTTATTGCTTTTATATATTATGCGGTCCTGCCTGTAATATTTTGCTTATGTTACCTTCACATGTTATTCGAGAATTATAGATTTAAACTGTCAAAGATATATTGTTGACATATTTGGCGATAGATATCAATGACGACAGAATATAATTACATTTTAATGAGATGACAAGTGCATAAAAAAAAATCTAAATTTTCCAAAAATGATTTTTCGTGTTGTATAATCTTTAATTTTTTAATTTTTTGTATTTAAGGACAAGCGAAGATCCCAAGGGAAGTCGCGAAAATACGGAGTTGCGGGAAAATATAAAGAGATTAGAAACTGAGATGAGTACATACGAAAAACGATTGGAAATTGCAACAGAAGAACGGGAAAAACTGATCAGCAGTGTAGCGTTAGCTAACGGGATGAAGGAAATCATGGAAGCAAATCTGCACAGAACCACGGAAGAATTGAAATTGCAAGAAGAGGAGTGTGATCATCTGCAGAAGCAGCTGAAAATGATGATGGAAGCTGAAAATAAGAAGCAAGAGCAACGAGATGCTGAACTAGACGAAATCAGAGGATTGCACAGAGAGATTAGCATTGCTCGGGAAACTAGGATAAATCTGGAGGCTGACATAAATCTTGCGAGGCAAAAACTGAAAGAATCCTCGGATCGGGAGCTGAAGCTTACACATATGGTGGAATCCTTGAAAGAGCGAGAGACTGAGCTCAATACAAAACTGATAATAGCAAAAGAGAAAGAGAAGAATCTAAAGGACTGGATCGAGAATTTGCAGCCAAGCTTAAAAACCGTTGCCGAAAGAGAGGAAGATACGAGGAACAAGCTGGTGAATTTCAACAAAGATACAGCGAGCTTCGCACAAAGAATTAAAGAATTAAATGAATTAGTTGAGAAATACTCTGTCGAGAAAAACAATCTTAAACGAAAACTTGACAAGATAACGATAGATAGGGACACAGCGATGCAGCGTGTAAGCTGTCTTGAAGGACGGATAAAGAAACTGAAAAATGGACAGGCTCCTACATCCAACAGCAATTCAACAACAATTTCTATTGAAAGGGTATCAAATTTTGTGCATTTTTAATTATTATAATATAATTATAATAATTGAAATATTGTATATGGATTCAATTTTTTTATCTTGAAACATTAAAAGACAACAGTTAATTTTAATGCATTATTTGCACTCTTATATTTTATATTTTTTTTAACATCTATATGCACAAAGATTAATCAATTATACATTTTAGAGTAAATAGCAATGATATATATATCTTACTCTTTATATATGGGTTCCAGTTGCAAAAACTTTATGGCTCATACTTACGAGTGGACAGCAGACGAAAGGCATTGGCATTCCAGAAGAAATATTTGCTGTGCATCGTTAGCACTTACCAGTATTGCGAGGAGAATACATTATGTGTGCTCGCGCAATTGACTCAAAATCAACGCGCTTACACGCGATCGTCGCGGAAAAAAACGGTGCGCTTCAGGATCGCTGTGTTAACGATAGTCAGTATATACAGGATGAAGTGGTTGACCCAACGTTGGCGAATAGGAAAACGCGTGGGTGCTAATGTTATTATAGGTAGTATAGATCAATTAATAATTGATGTGCCGCCTACCATCAAAATTGCGTCCAATTATTCCCCACCGGTGAGAGAAAGGACGACAAAGTAGGTAAAAAAAGACAAAAGTATTATATATTTTTCTATGAAATTTACACTAGAGATGATTATTTATCGAAAATCTCTTTAAAATGTGAAAAGACAAAGCAATTATCCAACAAAGAAACATATATCTCTAATTTGATATATTAGATTATTGTATTGTATGTATGTGTTCTAAAAAAAAGAGAGTCTTAAAAGCAATATTGTTGAAATCAAGTTATCAACTTAATCACGAACTCGAAACTTCACCATCTCGTCATATTCTTCTATTTATTAGCATATAACAGCATTTGGCTTACATTTGACTGCTTAATGAAATTTGAAGTATTTAGTCTGCATTTTTTATTACAACATTTATTATACACATTATATATTATTAACAAATTTGTATGTTCCAGAAAATTAAGCGGAATGAATGTCCTTGAACAGTATTATCAAGAAGTAAAAAATTTTCAAGAGACACTTGACGCAGTTTTGGCAGAGTCAGGAACTAGTCATATTATCTCAGAATAACATTATATTTTTAAAACTTGTAGGAGAAAGGAGAGAGAGAGAAAAAGAGGAGAAGTTTAGCTCTGTAATATTAGCATTAAGAATATTATGTAATCGTTTAAACAATCATCATATAGGTCGTGTTTCTTTAAATAGTTTGTTCACACGGCTTGACAATTTTCGAATTTTTTTTCTTTTTTTTTTTTTTTTTTTTTTTTTTTTTTTTTTTTCTTAGATTTTTAGACACGTAGATTTTTTTGGACTTGATCAAAATTGTAAATCCCTGGATTTAAATATAAATTTGTAAATTTGTCAATTTTGACTCGCGACCGCGAACATAATACATAAATGACTCTTTCTCTACTGAATTATAGAAATCGTCGAATTTTTTATCAGTGAGGATTTAAAATCTTGTTCGGATGTCGTTTGCGTTTGATATATTCACTTTTTTTTTTTAAATCACTGAAATTTTTGCATTTTTTATTTTATCATTTATTATAATTCTTTTTCCCCTTTTTTGATAAACACGTCCTGTATTTTGTACTAAATTGCAGTCGTCAATGACCGATCTGCATGGGATTTCTATTTCCGTTCGACTGCACGATTTACATTGCACTAATTGATCATAATTGATCATGAACTCAACTGATGAGAGAAATGCAAATTTCGTCAGCTTGACCGGAAATAATCGGAACTGGGCATTTACATGGACTCTGTAATATAGACTGCGACTTTGTATATCTTTAACTCGCATTACTATCTCATGCAAGATTTTTTTTATTTTCGCGGTATCTTTCACTTATTGATTACAGTGACGCAACTTCTAAATGTCACTTGAAGAATTATAAAAAATGAAATTGATTATGAAACGAAAGAAATGAAGTATGAGAAGTCATTAAGGACATGTTACAGCGTAGATCTTAGTATTATAAGACACATGAGAGGCTTTTATTGATTGTTAGCAAAATAAAAGCATGTTCTGCGAAAGTTGATGTTAGCTGGACATTGCGCTTGTATTTATGATATTATTATTTCATAAGTTATGTAATATATTGTAGGTAGTATAGAAGAGAGAGAGAGAAAGAGAGAAAGAGAAAGCATGTAAACCTGCGTGTGCCTTGTACGCTGTAAAACGCGTTCATTATTTATTTATCGACAGATTATAATAAGCCTTTTATATATCGCGAATTGCATGTAATATGAATACTTTTTCCGAGATTTGTAATAAACAATCAATCTTTTAATATACATGTAATTGTGTTCTTTGTTAAATATATAAATTGACGTAAAACAGTGTCACTAATTAGATGAATACACAGTCGTAGAAAAAACTATCATATAAAATTTTCTTCAAAACATAATGAATCTTCTTTGTATTATCTTCATTTTGTCATAATTGTCTATTATATTATGCATATTATCGAAGAAAAAATACGACTGCGTTTTTAGTATACATATATATTTCTAGAACATTAAATATATATATATTTACATATATACATTAGAGTGTGTATGATAAAATATATGTGATAATCGACTAATCGATTCATTAGCGCTATCGTTCTTCGATTTATCTAAAGATACTTTAAAGTTTTAGACAAATGATCTATGAGGATAAGGCTCTTTTTTTGTTCCTTTCTAGGATGACAACTTATGTACTCTTTTTTTTCGTGTTTTTTCTTTTTTTTTTTTTTTAGTTTTATAATTTTTGACAATCCTAGATTTTCTTAGATGTATGCGCGTTAATGTATATTGAAATGTAAAAAGAAAATTTAACTGAGCTTGTTTTGAATATTTCTATATAACTATTTTACATAGAATCAAGATGAATTACTTTCTTGTTAGGTGGAAAGACTGCGTTCTAACATAAGTGTGGTTTACACCCCACTGTACATAAGAAAGTTTAAGGATTATCTCTTTAAATTTTTTCGAATGTTAATATTAATAATTACTTTCACGTTGGCTTATTTTCTACGACACATAATGCAAGTCAGAAACTCATTCGATCCATTCGATAGATCGAATCGCTATGCAAAAAGTAAATGAATTAAAAAGAATTGATAAGAATTCACTTCATAAAGTCATAATTTTCTAATCTCTATAACAAGAGATTGACTCTTATCTCGAATGTTTCTTCATTCCTCTCTTTTTATTTCTATTCATTAATTTTTATTCTCCAAGACACGAAGCTATTAGGATTACAAGAGAAGACATAAATCTTTTATTTTAAAAATTGAGATATATAGATCAAATAGATTTTTCTTCTATATCTCATATATATTTGGTATTTAGTACTTTGTAGTTACTAATAGAGTAACTATAAAGTCCCATTATATTGAGAATAAAGAGAGATAAAAAGGAGAACCTATAAAAGTGTTAAAAATCTTAAGATATTATAATTTTGAGGACAATATATTATTTATTATCAAATAATTCTCTCTCAATTCCTTTTAACTTGTCTACTTTCTTATAGAGAATCTTCTTGTTCGACCATAATTAATTTTAGCGAATCTTGTGACTCGAACAAGCATCCTTAAAGTTCGTCGCGTTAAACGGCATGAAATAGTCGTCGTGCAGTTGTCGGACGATGTTCTCTATCGGGCACAATTTGACGACGCTCNNNCGCTCTTCTTGCCTGGTCCTTGTTCCCCATCATCGCTGACGTAGGTGTTGGCGTTTCGGCAAAACGGGATCTTCGGTGTGAGATCTCGACCGTTGGCGACAACGCGGAAATAAAAGTCGCTGGCGAGGCGATTATCATTCCGCGGATTGATCTTGTAGATCTCGATGACGAGCCTCGAAGCGTAATGCGTCGCCACGTCCGAAACCACGCCGAGAGCGGTGGCGAGGTACTCCAGGGTCTTGTCGTGGCCGGAGTAGAGGACGATCTTGGGTCTGGCCTCGGAGATGATGCGTAGCATGAAGGTGACGATGCCGCGCAGCATCCCATACGCCTTGAGCAGCCCGTACTTGTTGCGGCTGCTGCTCTTGGCGATCTGCTTGGACTCCCAGTCCGTGTAGGCGAACAGCCCGGTAACGTGGTCGCTCTTGACGCACGTCCTCTGCGCGGTCGCTCTTAAAGTGTCCTCCGCGAGATCGGCGCACGGTAGAGAGGCGCCGTGGCACACGTACGTTAATAAAGCGTCCCTCAGCGTATTCGGGTCGCACGTCTGCGCTTGATCCGGAAGCTCGAACACGGCACTCGCCGCCTGCTTGATCAGCTCACCAACGGCTGGATGAGATCTTAGATGGTTGGAAGTCTCCTGGGGAAAGTAGAGGAGTAACTTGCGGAGAGCCTCGTACGATTTCATAGCAAACACGCATCTCGGAGCTTCTCGGGAATATTTTCTCAAGAGCATTAAATTATATTGCTTTCTCATAGAGGAAACTTTATTTTTGTGACAAAATTTTTTTTCCAGTTTTCTATGCCAATGTGTTTAAGAGCATTAAATTATATTTCTTCCTCATAGAGGAAACTTTATTTTCGTGACAAAATTTTTTTCCTGTTTTCTATGCCAATGTGTTTAGAATGTTTTAAAACATCGAAAAATCATATTTTTAAAAAATGTCTGTATGTATGTATGTATGTGTGTATGTACGGAATGTATATTGTACAACCTCTAACTTCTGAAATTTTTGAGATATCGGGATAAATTTTTTAAAATTTTAAAAGTATCATTAAAGGATGGTTAATATTGAATTTGGTGAGGATCGGTGAAAGAGCTCATTTTTTATAAAATTTTGAATTTTTTGAGAATTTGATAAAATTTTGAATTTTTTGAGAAATGTTTGCACACGCTCTAACTTTTGCACATTTTTAGATATTGGGTTAATTTTTTTTACATAAATAGAGTATCATTAAAGAATGGTTGGTATTGAATTTGGTGAAGATTGGTTTCATTTTTTATAAAATTTTGAATTTTTTGAGAACTTTCGCAAATTTTGAAATATTTTCCTCTATGAGGAAGCCAAAATTGTAAAACCTGCTTACTTTAAGGAGCTTAAGCTTTGTAAGCGAAATAATGAGGAAGTAATGTGCAAGTTTTTAATTTGCACAATTTTCATCTTGTTTTTCAGTATTTCTATATATATGTAAAAAAACAGAAAAGCTACAACACTGCTTTCTTAAATAGAGTTAATTAGATTCTGAATTCTTTGTGAAGAAAGTTTTCTGGTCTCTTTGTCCTACTCGTCAAAATTATATTGAAGTAGATCTTTTTTTCCACACGAGGTTTCAACTCGAAACTTAATCATCAAAATATTTATTATTACACGTTGAAACATTGGAACGGATCATGTGGTTTCATCCGTGAAATTTTAATTTAGAAAAAATTGACATCATCACATATGCATGTGATGTTTTTTCATATGTCACGTGCAACATACAGACAGCGTTAACGCAAGATTATTTCTATAGAAAAAATTATCATCGCGTGCATGTATTTTATTCAGATAACGTACGTTGCAATATCAGTTATTTGTGTGACAGCCTTGAATGACCTACGTAATTTTATTGGATTTCCTGAGAAAGCAAGAAAAGAACGAGATTATTGCAGATTATTTAATGTCTTCGAGGAAGATTTCAGATCATTAAAACTTGCTTCAATAAGACAGTCACGGCGCAATATAATATTTTATTGAATCTTCTTTAAAAAATGAAAAGAAAGAGCAATATCAACTTTATATATCTTTCTAAAAAGTGAAACGTGCAAAGAAAGTTTCAATAATGTAAGTCTATAAATATTTCTTTGAATAATTAATGTGCCGCCGCAATTATTCAAAATTTCCATATCAGACTCGAATCTCATAGAAAAAAAAGAACGTTTCATGATCTAATTTTTTAAACTGATATATAAAAAGCATGCATTTAAAAATTCATACAAATTTATATAAAAATTATTATTAAAAGATATTATTAATAAAATTACAGTAATTTTATAAATAATATAAAATAATAAATAGAATCCAGATGAAGTACTTTTTTTAGGTGAAAAAATTAGATTCTAAATGCGTGGCTTATATATTTACACTCGTGTTTGTCTTCGTGCAATTACCTTTAAATGCTGCTTCAGAAATTTCTCAGCTGCAGGACAAGCGCATTCGTTATTGCAGAACGCATAGCTCTGGCTCTCCTGAAGACTGATCCTCGCCAGGCTCTGGAAACCATCGTTCTCGAACAGCGCGTAGAGCAACGCGACGGCACTCTGCACAGTCCTGCGGTAGGAAGTGCTGTAAACAATGACGTCCTTGCCGAAGGTGGTGCCGTTGCCGAGATTGAGCTTGTGATAGTACGCGTTTCTCAACAGGATCCCAGTCTTCAGCAGCTGCAGAATGCCAAGGGTCGTCAGCTGACCGATCTTGCAGTCGCGCGCGTTCGCCGGCAGCACGGGCAGCCCGTGAAACGGGCCCAGGAACTGGGCCCAGGCGGTCTTCGAGTAGCTCGACACATTTTGCACAAAATTTACATAATTCTCGTAAATCGTTTCCAGTTCCGTTACGCCAGTTCCGGCGCCAATTTCGCCGCCGCAATTTATGCTGCTTATGTTTCGTATATGCGTCAAAGGACCTCTGTCGCCGTGACGGATGAAGATCAGGATGCCGCCTAATGTCAAGTTACCATCGAGTTTACCTATTTGAAGAACAAAACGCCTTATGCGTATTGTATAATTACGTGATGTAAGAAGGACATTATTTTTCGCGATTCGAGTATGCGAGGTAATAAAAAATATTGATTTTAATTATTTATTGCGATTTTATTATGCGCAAAGAGCTTCAACAATGATTTCTTTTAATATATTTAGACATCTTTTAGTACATGACTAGTAATTATTGATCTCGTAATATAATTTAATTGGAATATATCCCATTTTGATGTTTGTCATCTTTTATACAAAAATAGAATAATTGTAATTATTGATCTTGTATAATAATATAACATAATTGGAATATATCCCATTTTGATGTTTGTCATGTTTTATACAAAAATAGAATAATCGTATAGAACATACCTTCGGTCTCTGCAGCTATCTCATGCGGTAAATTGCAAAAACGAAAGATCTTCTTCGTCTTCGCGTCCGATTTTAAATTTCTCGGGAATTCTCGGAGCAACAGATCATTATTTAAGACTCTCGTTTGCACCGAAGTTTTCTCATCCACGCCGATATATTTATACATGCCTGCGCAATGAAAAAAAAATTGTTTGTAATCTTTACATTCTAAATTTACATTTTATTACATTCTTTCCTAATGTTTTTATTCAATTGCATAAATACAACAATAGGAGATATTTATATATGTCAAAATATCAGGTGATTGCATAAGTTCGTGAACGATTTAAATATAAACTTCAATAGATTATATTTTAGAGATAACACTTTTATTAATCAATTATATAGTCTCCATTCTTTTCTACAATGGTTTTCCAACGATCTATAAGCTTGTCGATTCCATTTTTGAAGAAAGAACTTGATTTTTCTTGAAAAAAGTTTGTAAGGTGGTTTTCGACAACTTCCTCGGAATTGAGATTCTTGCCATTTAAACTATTCTGCAAAGACCGGAACAGATAAAAATCTGAAGGCGCAATATCTGGAGAATATGGCGGGTGCTGCAGAATTTCCCATTGCAACTCCTGCAGTTTTCGCAACGTCTGTTGAGCGACGTGTGGCCTAGCATTGTCGTGGTGGAAGATGACGCCTTTTCGATTGGCCAAAATCGGACGTTTTTCTAGAATAGCTGCAGCGAGTCTAGTTAGTTGCTCACAGTACTTGTCCGCCGTGATTGTTTCGCCGCGTCGGAGCAGCTCAAAGTAAATAATTCCCTTGCGATCCCACCAAACACACAGCAACACCTTCATCGGATGCAAGCCAGCCTTTGCTTACGGGTTCTGCTCCTTCAGCTGCTGTTTTCCATGTCCTCTTTCGCTGTACGTTTTTGTAGAGAATCCACTTTTCATCGCCTGTTACCATTCGATCTAAAAAAGGCTCTTTTTTGTTACGCTCGAGAAGAGAAAGAGCCACAGTCATACGGTTTAGCTTATTCCTTTCAGTCAGGAGATGCGGCACCCATGTATCAAGCTTGGAAACGTATCCAAGCTTTTTTAAATGACGAAAAGCGGTTGAATTATCGATGTTCAGCCTCTCAGCAATATCCTCAGTTGTAATCCTTGGGTTTCTTTCCACTAAGGCATGCACAATGTCATCATCAATGCCAGAAGGCCGTCCAGAGCGGGGTTGATCCTCCATGTTGAAATCACCATTTCGAAATCTGCCAAACCACTTTTTGACTGTTCGGAGAGCAGGAGCGCGGTCCAAATAAACGGTTTGAATATTTTTTTGTGCAATCCCAACACTCACGCCTTTCCGAAATTCATATAACATTACATGCCGCAAATGCACCTTTTCGTTCTCCATTTTTAATGATTTCTCTTATGCACAAATGGACTTATCTGAACAATGTCTGACGCTAAATTGACATAAGACAACGTCATCTATTCGGTGTAAGCAACAATTACCACACGAAAACAATAGAACTCCGCCATGCAGTAACTTAATGCCATCTATGAAAATCGGGCACGAACTTATGCAATCATCCAATATATCCGTGTGAATCATTTGTGATCAGATATACTAAATATGTTTTAACTATTTTATCTTATATTAAGAGAAATTACTAAAGAGAAGTGTAGACGTGTCTTTGATATCGCGCGGCTTAAAAATCTTTTTATTTAAACGCCGATATAAAAGACGATATACCTACAATATACGTGCATACATACATATATAATAATGAACGGATGAGATACACTGATTGGATATAAAAGATTTGTACTTTATTTTGCAAAAATACTTGGTAATTTTTTACAAAAAGTTGCACAGATCATCTTAATCTTGACAACATATAGGTACGTTGTAGATGGTATATTTCTGACTAATTTACGTCTGAAATTAGATGGTGCTCTTTTATAGTTTTTGTGATATTTTAAATTGAAAATATAACTATACATATATACAAAACTAAGCCGAGAATCGTAAATCGTCATTGATGATGATTGCATGGGCAAAACAAAAAGGCAAAGCTCTTGTTTTACTCGGGTTTGAAGTGCAGAAAAAAATGAAGCTCTTTTTATGTACGCCCATGCATCGACTTTAATGTGTAAACATGCAATTAATGCAAATTTGTATTGAAACAAACTTTGTATTGAATTAAACTATCACGCTTGTTTGCATAAGCGCAACATTCTTTATTAATTTTTTAATGAATAATAAAGTTTTTTAAATATTAATATAAAAAATATATTATATATATAATGTTAGATTTATATGAAATTATATATGTACATATATATAAAATATTAAAATATTAATATCGACAAAAATAATTAAACTTCCAACAAATTTGTATTAAAAAACAGTCCTTCTCCCGATTTGTGCTTTAACAAAAAATCTATCTAATATGAAGAGAGAGATTAAACTGGTTTTAATGGATTTATTTTTTTTTCTGCAATCAGTTGACATCTGTGTCAACTATGATCGCACAGTTGCCTTACTTTATGAAAAAAAGAAAGTAGAATAGTCAAGTTGCCTTGATAACACGTGACAATATTCAGCTAATTCGTTATTGAAAAACTAAAGTTGTTCTCTACTGTGTTATAGCTCTATTATTAAAACTCAAGTGATAACGAACAGAAGCGCTCAAGTGTATAGCTGCGACAACATCTATACATATATATACATCTTACCCTATATTTAAAAATAAAAACTCGCTAAAATCATGCTGAAAGGGTTTAAATATTTAAGCATCTCGAAGTTCGACAAGTTAACAATCAAATATGAAACTAAAAATCTACGAACGCACGTTTTACAAGCATATAAAACGCGACGTAAACACGGTATACAATATATAATATCCAATAATATATGTGGGTTGAATTTCGACGAGTTCAATTTTCTATAGGTACGACAAAATATATATTTTATTGATTTGTATTGTCGCAAATAAACGCACACAATCATTCTCGCGTGTTTATAGCAATCGAACTTAATTGTCAGTGAAATTACATCGATTTCTAAGAATTTGATTTCGATAAGGATATTTAACAGAACCATCCCCCCCCCCCCCCATCCCTCCCTAAATGCATATAAAATCAGCGGTCACGAGGTTGCGTTTACCAGCGACCAGGAGGAAGATCCACACGCTTAGAATCACGTAGCAGTAGAATGCCCTGTGTTGGTAGGACAACCGGACCATCTCCGCGAGCATCCCTCGACGGTTACGGGCCCCGTGGGACCGATTCGCGGGGCAACGACGAGCGGTAACGACGTCCCGTCACGATGACGACGACGCGGAGTGACGCGGCGAGGACGCGACTGGATATTCGTTCCGCTCGTAGGGACCGATCGAAGCTGCATCTTCAAACGCCTTTCGACCTTCGCTCTTTCCTTCGCATACTTGTCCGACGGTCGTGCGACAAGTATCACCCGATCATCCGATCGACACGAGCAATCGCGCCACGAGCGATCGACGAGAAAAACCGCGCCGAAAAATCTGTCTATCTACCCTATCCTGCTGCGTGTCCGCCCGAGATGGAACTGCCGGTTCCCGACATGGCGATAACAACGAGGGGTGAATTTTCACGGGGGGGGGGGGGGGGGGGGGGGGGGGTGTTTCAGGCGCAAGCGCTCTACCACCGATTACCTTCCACCCTGAAAAGCCGACTAGTTTTCCCCCGCGATGGCATGGTCGGTCTACAGAGTGGCACTCTCGTATAACGTTTATCGACCTTCCTTTATCTGGCGTAGTTATCAAACGGAATGCCCGATCAGCAAAAGCCGGTCGGTTATGCATTCTCTGTCGAGAACTGGATATTTTCGTCACGTCACAAAATACTAAAAACATATATATATATATATTTTTTTTTTTACTCTTTTAATATATAAGAAAAATTAAAATGTAAAAAAAAGATGTTAACTTTTTCTTCGACACAATTACTATAATCACATTATAAACACTTAACATATAATTAATACATGTAATGATGCTGATGATATATTTAATCGCAAATAAATAAAAAAATTTGTTTCAATCTGTAACATATTTTACAAAACTGTGAACAAATCGATCTAAAACGAGAAACGTCGACAATGACGTCGAGAATGACGGCAAATTATTTAGTATCCTCCATCTGACCGACTTTTATATTAGATATAATTATTTCTTAATATGATATATTTAATCGCAAATAAATAAAAAAATTTGTTTCAATCTGTAACATATTTTACAAAACTGTGAACCGTTTGTAGGAGAAACTTATTGATACTCTGAGATATTTCGTAGACAGAAGATTATCTCGCACATTATTTTCAACGACATAATCTTGCTTTGCATACAATGCAATAGAGATTGTTATCTAAAACAATCACGTACCAAGCGTTACCATCAGATACAATCCGGAGCGATTAATTATGATCAATTCAATTTTCAAAATCAATCAGCTATCAGGTTGCAATCACCGTTCATTACATAATCAAATCCTCGACATCCGTATCTATATCGACAATCAAACTCATCGCGATTGCAACGGTCTCGATCGTAGATTGAAAACTTTAATTCGGCAAGAACAAGGCTCCCCCTTAGACGAATAAATGACCATGAAAAGCAGAGAGCTTGCCGACGAAGGAAAGCGGATGTGCTGATGTCACCGTGTTGGGCATCGCCGCGCTCTCTCGGCCCGGCTGTAAATATATTCCATTTAAGACTGATGGCTAGATTGTCCCGCAGTTGATGGTTAGTCTCGAGTTGTCATATCAGAGCAGTTGACGCGTGTTACATCTCGGCGCGCGGTTACACGCGAGTAATCGGGCCCGTCTACGTCGTCGGGCACGCAACTGTCATTGAACGCCCCCGCGGCCCTGCAAACTTAAACGGTCTACAGACGAGAGCGATATTCTTTGTTAATAAGGATCCCGGTGAAAGCGATGCTTTACTTGCTGTAGGGTAAAGAGATATCTTAAAATAAAGCGCGTCAGAGTGAACGGATTAAGAAACATCGTTACGTAATTCAGACTCTCTGCTAAAGTTGAGTTTTTGTTTATCGATTTTATGTAATAAGTATAATACTTTAAAAATATAAAAATAAGAACGTTTTAGCGATAAATGAGTAATTTTATTACATAATATTTTATTCAATTCTATTACATATGATAATTAGAAAAGAAAGCACAGTTATTTTTAAAGCAATATAATTTTATTATTTTTAAAATAATTAGACTGTCTCCCCCCCCCCCTCTCTCCACACTTTTTTCTTTTTTT